CCTGCAGGCCCGCCGGGCGCTGAGGACGTCATCGCGCTGAGAGGATTGCACCGCTGACAAAAAGGATTACACACTTTGACATTTTCCTGACCAAAAAACTGCTTAACCGCTCTGATTAGAGACCCGAAAAAAGACCAGTTATGGCGACGCAGCGGGTGCAGAATATGTTTTTTGGGGGCGCGATTATGTTCTCGTGGCTGATGGATCGATATCGTTATCGGGTGACTCGGACGTTTCACAGCTGTTACCGTCCTCTCTGGTTTTTATATGTCCTCGCTTTGTCTTTATGGGACACTTACACGAGACAAAATAAATCTTCTTTTAGTTTTCACACCTGCAAAGCTTTGTTGACTGTAAAATCCAAACGCCATTCAGCTCCCACCTGTTGAGCACAACCCCGAATATCTGCGGGCTGAATGTATATATATATAATTTGATTTATCTCTTGTGACGCATACCACATGTTTTCACGCATTCCATTGTACAAATGTAGCAGCCATAAACTCACAGAGGTCAAAAAACGTTAAACGTAAATGAAAGATGAGGGGCATCCGCCTCGGGTCCACCGTCTCACGTATCCATTCCATGATGCAGAGTCTCCATTTAGCCTCATCGTAGCCTCGCTATCATAATGTTGAGATGAACTGTATGTGTTTCTGTATCTAATGGAAATGAGGGGAAAGGGATTTTTCAGGACTTCACTTGATATTTAGATGCGATCCCTGTGCAGTTCAGCACAGAAGCCCCTGGCTTCATCAAAATGAAAACTGTATATTCCAGAATCCCACGAAAGAAATGGGTCTGTGTTTGTCTTCCTCACGTGCAAGTATGGCGACCCGTTATCTCTCAGTCTGCCGTGGGATCCATCAACTGGGATTCCAGACACGTTTTCAGCCATTCTGTGGTGATTCTTTAAGGTGAGGGCAGGTCCAGGGCGGCCCTCTGTTCACAAGAAGCACCTTTCAGTAGGCTTCTTCACAATATTGCCCTATTGACACGGCTTTGTTACAAAGGGTCCTCGTGGGATTTAGAAACCCCCTCCCTCAATACTCCCAAATACCTTCTACTTGATTCAAATGGGTCTCCATTGTACGAGATGCTCCCTCAGATATGTTGTAAACTATCACATGACCTCTGTGTTTGGTGAACACGACCTCTCTAAGTATCACACGGTCAGGTAATGTGGTCTCGAGCCAATACAGCCGGCGACGGGCGTTTGCAGCCTGTCAAATATCCTCTTTTGGATTTCTCAGTCTGCTTTCACGGCGTCGCTTTCAGAACAAGAACAAAGACCAGAGCATAAAGCAGAGCCACCTCACAGTGGAGCGTTTAGTCACCCGTCTTCTAATTTAACCCGGACTCGGAGCTCCTTGTAGTTCATAACGTCTCCATTAATCTCTCCCTCCGACACCGTCAATTAGATCGCCGCTCAATGGAGTAATTTCGTCGATTCCATATGTGAACTCTGCCTTCGCTCCTTAAGTAGACATGTGAACATCATTTAGAACAAAAGATGAACAGAAACTAGGCTCGGAGGAGTTGGTGAACTCTTCGCCTCGCCTCGGGAGTCTTTTCATCCAGAAAGCGCCGAAAGGAGAAATGTCGCCCATCTGTCAACGTTGATACTCGCAAATCAAAATGTACAGTATGTTTTTGGAAAACAGAGAGAGCTAGAAGTTAAAAGAAAATTATCTTTGCCAATCGTCTCCCATCGAATCTTGAGCTGTCCTCCCCTCTGGACCTGGTCTGTTTTCAGCTCCTTGTCTCATTATGAAAGTATTTTTTGTGACAAAGGTTAGATGCTGACTAAAGAACTGCCGGCCACACGCCGTTAATCTGAAGGGTTAGAGGATGAGAAAGTTCCCTCCGATGCGTTTGTGTCGGTGCGTGATCGTGTGTTGGCGAAGCTTCCCGTGCAGGTAGACCTGCTCTCCTGCTTGTGTGCTTTTTGAAAACTAACGTAGTTTGAATGAGTCTCTGCTGTCGAGAGCCACATGTGGGAGCGGGAGGCGAGGGAGCGAGGGAGGGAGGGAGGGAGGCGAGGGAGCGAGGGAGGGAGGCGAGGGAGGGGCCCGTAGGTTTAGAGCTAAAGCCGCTTGGCCCAGATGAAAAGGGCTCTCGGGCGCCATGCCAATGAAAGCCCGGCCAGCAGCCCACCCTCAGTGACAGGGCAGGGGAGCGGTCAGGCCACAGGCTCTCCGCATGCACACGCCCGCTGCATTCACACGCTCCCTGCATGCGCACGGCCGCCGCATTCACACGCTCCCCACATGCACACGCTCCCTGCATGCGCACGGCCGCCGCATTCACACGCTCCCCACATGCACACGCTCCCTCCATGCACTCGCTCCCCGCATGCACACGCCCGCTGCATTCACACGCTCCCCACATGCACACGCTCCCCGCATGCACACGCTCCCTGCATGCACACGCTCCCTGCATGCGCACGGCCGCCGCATTCACACGCTCCCCACATCCACGCGCTCTCCGCATTCACACGCTCCCCACATGCACACGCTCCCCACATGCACACGCTCCCCACATCCACGCGCTCTCCGCATTCACACGCTCCCCACATGCACACGCTCCCTGCATGCACACGCCCGCTGCATTCACACGCTCCCCACATGCACACGTCCGCTGCATTCACCGCTCTCCGCATGCACACGCCCGCTGCATTCACACGCTCCCCACATGCACACGCTCCCTGCATGCACACGCCCGCTGCATTCACACGCTCCCCACATGCACACGTCCGCTGCATTCACCGCTCTCCGCATGCACACGCCCGCTGCATTCACACGCTCCCCACATGCACACGCTCCCTGCATGCACACGCCCGCTGCATTCACACGCTCCCCACATGCACACGCCCGCTGCATTCACCGCTCTCCGCATGCACACGCCCGCTGCATTCACACGCTCCCCACATCCACGCGCTCGCTGCATGCACGCGCACACTGGGATGGAGACAAAGAGGCTCTACTTAACGAGTGTTTATATAAAGCTGCTGGGATTTATATTTCTAGATACAAATCACTGTTATGACCCACGTGGCTCTGGAGTTCACCCGAGCTCGAGGGAGTGCTTCATCTGCACATTTCTTTTGTTTTTGTACAGCCTGCAAATTGTCTTGGTGGACTTTCATCGGTCTCACGTTACTCATTTTCCGCCTCGGCAGAAAGCTGTTTTAAGAGAAAAAGATTTTTAAAAACGTGTTGTCTGTGGGCAGCACGAAGAATGAAAACGGTGACTATTGGATTAACACCATGAATGATGCGGTTGTTCCTCATCTGCTGTTTTTTAAGCAGCTTCTCACTATTCACAATAACTGAACTGAAAGGGGAAAAAAGTACAGTAAAAATGTGAGAAAACCTGCTTTGGCAAATATTAAGACATCATAAGACATAAGTCATAAGACACCATGTGGACTAAATGTCCACTCCAGCCTCTAACAGGAACAAATAAAACACCGGGGGTCGGGCCCAGGTCTGTATCTTCTCCTCACTGTAGGACCTTTTTTCATCACCCCTGGATTCCGAATCCAAGCTGCATCAATCATCCATCGCCTCATGGCCCGCAGACACCGCTGCTTCAAAACAGAACTCCTCGCTTCTGCTCCACGTGGAACTACTCCGAGCTATCGGCAAAGCCCCCGTCGAGAGGCCGACATCGCGTTTCAAAAAGCACTCGCAGAAAACGCACAGCAGGTGGAAGAACCCATCTGTCAGGGTTTGAACCGTGCAGCCGGCCTGGATGTGAGTCCTGCTCTCCGTCGTTTAAATCCCACCTCGGTCTTTCTTCTATTAAATATACGCCTCTCACCGCTCGACTGTGCAGCAAAACGCTGAAATGTCCCGCAGGTATTCGGAGCTACTGTTTGAAAAACCACCAGCTGGGTTTGGGTCAGGCTCACTGTGACGAAAAGTCAAGCATGGAACTGCTGACACAAGCTTTCCTCCGAGGGTTTTCCAGTAGAAGAGAAAGTGTCTCAAGGTAGCGGCGGCTCAAATCATTTTTAAGAGAAGAGGGAAGCTAATGTCGCTAAAATGGGTATAAAGTATTTTCCTTTCAGTTGTTTTGTTTAAACCTCTGTAGTTCTATTTCGTTTGAGTCGCTCACTTATTTGTTCATTTGTTTGTTTGTAATGTAGTATTGCGATACCTCGGACCACAGCATCAATGGATTTCACTGCTTTGCCAGAATTTAAAATCCACTCAGAATTGCAAAAAAAAACTATAATTTCATAAATAATCAATAAATACAGTTTAGAGTAGATACTAACTACGTAGTTCTATCGCGACAACAGGACCAAATGTAGTTTCTAATATCAAGGAAAATATGGCAAAATAATAAAAGGACTATGTTGCAGTTTTCCCTTCATGCCTGTAAATAGTAGAACAGTCGATGGCTTGCCTTTCAATGTTAATATGTGATATTTTACATATATATGTATATATACATACTTATATATGTATATAGAGGAGGAAATGTCTCTCCCTCTTTACGGCGGAGTTCCTCGCAGGCCGCCTGCAGCCTCCTGAAGGGTCGTGGCCTCGCAGGGAAGCATGAAAGGGGGAAGCCGAGTGCGGCCGCGGTGACAAAGGAGGGACGAATGCGTGGTTATGAAGTGGAAGCGCACTCTCCATTTGAAAAGGACATCGAAAGAGATGCTTAATGTCCGGAGGCAGTACTCAGTCACCCGACGTGCATCCCCTCTGTCGCCCAATCCCCCTCCATCCATCCCCGTCTTACATGATGATCAACGTGCACGGGGGGAGGGAGGGATGGGGGAGGAGGGGATAATACCTCCTGAACACATGATGAATGCAGTCATCGGGCTTAAAGTGACCGAGGGGGGAACGAGTGGCGCTCAGAGGCCGACAGCGTGCATGCGAGTGACACCGAGCGCATCATCGTCAGCTCTCCCGTGGAGCCTCTTTCAGTCTCTCCATCGTCCTCTTGGGAGAGCGGGAGGGCGGCAGGGAGGGAGGGAGAGAGGGAGGGAGGCACATGGCAGCACGCAACCGACGGCACAAGTGAGAGAAAGGATGAAAAACGTTCTTTTTCCTTTTTTTTAAACTGAGCAATCAAGAGAAAAGAGGCAGCGAGACGCAGGAGCAGCGTCTCCCCGGCTGGCCGACCTCGTATCTTCTCTGAGCCAGAAGAGGGAGGGAAGGAGAGAGAGAGAGGATGCTGAACAACATGACGGACGGCGAGGAGGGAGAGGAAGGGACCCAACAGCCAGGGTGAGTGACGAAGCACGTGTGTGTGTGTGTTGTGTGTGTGTGTGTCTGTGTGTGTTATCCCGCCACACCCCGAGGGAGCGAGGAAGAAGTTTAGAGAACGAGGTCGTGTGGTTCCTGAAACTCTGTGAGCTCTGGTTTCCTTTTTGGGAGCGAAACGGTTCCGTTGCAAACAAAGGAGTGTCCGTTGGGCCCCCCCACCCTTCACCTTCCCCTTAACCCCCCTTCACCCGCCGGCTTTGCCCCCCCCCCCCCCCAGAACCAGCTCTTCACGGTCAGGTGGATCTGACATCCTGGTGCAGAAGATGTGTTTCAGATGTGGCCTCGGCAGAAGTTGATATATTCATGCGTTCTCGTCTCGCCAGAACCAACATCTGCCTTTTATAATGGTGTGTGTGTGTGTGTGTGTGTGTATGTGTGTGTGTCAAGTCAAGCCAAACGTGTCTTCACCTTCCCACCCAAATTGCCGTATGTTTAAGGTGCAGCGCATTGTTCAGTTTGGTCACATTGGTCATAAACTGGAGCTGCAACCATAGAAAGCCACTTTTCAGATGTGTAGTTAATAGTTTAAGAACTCTTTTGGGACTTTTTGGGGATCTCAACCTCAACCCGGTGTGGATCAGCTGACTTTCTGGGGTTGAAAGTCCCTTTTGTTTGTTTTTGGTTTGTTCGGAACCGTCCAGCTGTCCACCTAAATATGTCTCTGTAATATTAAATCCTGTGACTTGTATTCATTTCATTTCCTTAAGAAGCATGTTGTTTAAAAGCATCAAGCGGTCCATTTAACCCCCAAATACATGTTTGTTGCATACACAAACATGTTTTTCCTCTCACCGTTTGTCTGGATCGTTTAGGACGGAGTTTAACAGAACTCAGCTGCAGCGATATCTGCCTTTTCTCAAGTGTAATGACGCTGTACGACTCTCAAGGCTCATCTTAAAAACTCATTACTTTGCATGAAGCCAATCACGTGGTTCAATTTAGATGGATAAAAAGCAGAAAGATGTGTCGTTTTTTATTAATTCTCACAACATCAGTTTCCATTTGTGGGATCAACCCGAAGCCGTTCGTCATCGGCAGGCCCGATTGCACCACCAGGCCCGATTGCACCACCCAAAGGGGCTTTTGAAGGGTTAGAGTTAAACCGTCCCGCACCCGGTGCGGTTAATAACGAGGAGGCAGAAGAGAGCAAACCAGACCACGGCGTACTGGTGCCCGTAAAAAGCACCTCATTAAACTCTCACAGCAGAGGTGACGGATTAATGACGCTGCAAACAGCCGGCGACTTTTCCATGAACGACTTTCTCCTTCAGTTGCACATACACGCCTTTGATGACATATATCATTTAAATATTATTTACTTCTGCTGATTTAACGGCTTTATGTTCCGTCGGAGTAGAACAACCTCCACACTGGAGTAAAAGATGTAAATGTGCATATGACGGAAATACTCAAGGAAAGTGAAAGTAAATGGATCCAGACGTGATATAAAGAACGAGACCAGACAACCGCATCGTTTTTTAAAGTGTCCGTCGGACCTTTGACCATCTGAAGCCGAGTCTTCAAAGCGGGCGGAACCACGTTTCACGGCACCGTCGGGTCACCGTGCAGCTGCGTTCACCAAAACCCTGCTGCCAGCATCTGCAGCAGCTGGTGCAGGAGATAAACGAAGGTCGTGTCGTGTGTTGAATTTTTGGTGGGATTTAAACGAAATGTAATGACGCCGCGTGCGAGCGATGCAGAGTCAGAAATGAGGATTTCATCACAAGGACGGAGCTGACGGACGAAAAAAACGAACACACGTGCAGGAAGGCGCTTCGTTTCGGACGTGCAGACTGTGGATGAAAATCAGTTAAAACATTCGGGAGATGAAATGGTGCCACAACTCCTCCCAATGATCAACTTTCTAATTTTGCACGTCGTTCTGTTGCCGAACGAGACGCAGCAGGCGTCAAATAACTCCAATGGAGACAGAAGACGCTCCGGCGGGGGGCAACGAGTGTAAAGACATGTGTGGAGGTCAACGGGTGCAATAACCACAGGAAAATATGAATAGTGTCGTGACCCCTTTTGGATTTGTCTTCTGACCCGTAGCAACTCCCAACTGGAACGTTTTAACTAAATTGCTTCTCAGTGAAAAAAAAAAAAGGAAAAGGTCTCTCTTGCTTTTTGGGATTAGTGGCCGATGGATTCTGCTAAAAGGTGCACCGTGTTCTGGGAGAATACGCCGATTTACTTGAAACCTGACAGAGGCTCGTGCTTCCAGTCTGTTGCCGAGCAACACATGCAGGACTTACGGGAAAGGAGACGCGGCAATGCAGTGTTCCTCTAAAGCATTTTTCGGGTTTTCATCTTGCCAAAGAGAAGATCGACGGCACCCGTCCCTGCCCTTCACAACGTGTCCACCGCTGGGCCGCACTTAATCTGGCTGCCAGATGTTGCCGGCTCAGCTGTGTGAATCTGAATCAATCTGTGTGATAGCCCGTACGTTAATGCAGAGTGCCGCCCCTCCCCCCCCCCTGTTGTGAGAGACGAGGGGTCACCTGAGACATCAGACGAAACCCGTCTCCTCAACTTCCCGCAGGTGATGATTCATCGTTTACCCGGAACGAAAGGACGACAAAAAAAAGTCAGCAGTCGCTACAACTGTCAGCCACAAAATTAGAATCCTATTCTATGAGATGTTGTATGTGTTGTGTGTCCGCGTGGATGCGAGCAGTCATGTAATTGTGCGTCAGAAATGACCTCACGGCGGCCGCTTTGTTCAAAGCCGCTTCTCTTAAATGTCACACGAAGGATTTGCGTACCGCCGCGACCCGGTAATTTCCCTCACGTGTCCTCCGCTGATTTACAGCTTCGATGGAAGGGCTCAGGGGACACTTGTCCGCAGCAACACTGACACACGTTTGACACCATTCGCCCTTTAACCCGAGTGATGAACTACCGAGGGCCGAGTTTTCAACAGTGAGCGAATAGACAAGACAGTCAGGGTTTTTTTGGTTTTCTACTAAGCTGCTTACTCGGCTTGTGAGATGACTGTTGGATCTAGAAAAGCTCGGCGCACATCTGATAATAATGTCAGGTTTAATGTTTAAAGTGAGGGTTTGTTTTCCCTTCTGATCAGAAGGCACGTTTTCATCCATTGCTGCAGTTCAATATGCTCAATATGCTCAGATCAACAGTTCATCAATACGGCCTTTTGAGGATCGGGTTGTCGCGGAGTTCAGTTCCGAGAAAGTGTAGATGATGAATTTCCCCTTTGGGGATTGCTAAAGCATCTATCTGTCTATCTGTCAACGCACTGTTGTTATTGCATGCTGCAGCGGTGATGCTTGTCTTCATGCTGCAGCAGTTTCAAGGCCCTGCAGAGACATTGGATCAACACGAAGCAGCTTTAAGATGAGGGAAAGTGCTCTCTGGTGTTAAGGATGTGACTCCCGCTGCACAGACCTCGCTGAGGCTCCGGGTGTCTTCACTAAGACCGGGATCAGGCGGCCGAGCTGAAGGGGAATGGCGGATAGTGGCCGAGCTCTCCTCTAATCTTCCCCCTGAGCCACAACACATCCACCGCCCCCTCGACTCGGATCGCAGATTATTAAAAACACAGCGGCCTGATCCTTTCTTCCGCGCTCAGCGGTCCAGTTACTTATTTCCCCGCGGCTCCGCGGAGAGACCAAACGAAAAGACAGAGGGGTCTGTCACAGATTATGTCCCTTTTCTATTTTCAAATTACAGCAGTCGAGACAGGACGGGGAGGCCTGCAAGCTGAGACGGACGAATTATTTTTATTAAATTTGTTCAAAGCTAGAGAATGTTCCCGCGGATTTGTCTTTAAGTATCCTCGATCTCCTCTGGTACATTTGAGGAATAGAAATAAGAGGCAAACATTTGTTGAACAAGCATAACCTGCATTACAGCACTTTTATGAAACAACAATATGAACAAAACATATCCTGTTTTTCTTTGAGAAACTTTCTCTTCTCTCAAAAACAACCTGGAAACAAGCCGATCTCTGATCCCTCCCCTGAGCACACGTACTAAAGGAATCTATTGTCTTCCGAATCGGCACCCTGCTGAGCTCCGTTTCCGGCTGAAGCTCAGAGGGAGGAGCGGGTGACTCAAAGGGCTTCCAGACACGCATCAGGACAAACAAACAGCGGCGGCTTTCATGCCGCGGCTTTTTACTTTCAGGGACAAAGCTGTTTAAAATCTGCTTCTAGTTCGCCGCCGGTTCCCCCTCTCAGAACCTCCTCGGGCCTCAGCGGCTCGCGGGAGCACATTTTTCGACGAGAGGAGCCTTCATCGCCAGGCCGTCACCTGCCAGGTGATTCCTGACTGTGAAGCCGGGTCCTGATGTTTGATCCCATGAAGCAGACTTTAGGCCCATTTGTGACGTATTTACGTGACCCCAGACTGTGAGTCAGAGCAACCAATGAAGGGAAATGACCTTATAAGGACACGGGAGGAGTGGCGTAGAAACGCTTTACATGGCTCCAGTTGGGTAGCAACCCATCAATCACAAGGTAGCCACGCCCCTAAAGCGTCCGCCACTTTATCGTTAAATGAACATTAAGAAGACTTAGACGCGCAATGTTTTACTAAATCAAGTAATTTTCTCACAGACTTCTGAAGAGTCGCCCCCTTCTGGCCAGAAGAGAAAATGCAAGCAACTCGCCTTTATAGAATGCCGGTTGTTTGCAGGAAGCGTTTAGTGTTCAAGTAGTTTCTTGTGAGTACTTCTCAAATCACGGATCACCAAGTTCTCGTCCCATTCTGAACTTGCAGGTCCCCCTACAAAGAGTCTCCATGTTCTCTCCTTGGCTGTGTGTGTTTAAACATATGTTCATACACAAACTGCGTTCCGTGTGTGTGGGTCTGTGGGTGTTGCATCTTTCACCACATCCAGGCCTCTCACGCTCATCAACACATGAACCAACAGCGCTGTTCCCGTTAGCGGCAGATTGGCACCCGGAGCGCTTTTTCCCTCCGGTGAACGAACCTCG